CTGGCCTAGACCGACAAATGTTACCGAAGTCCGAAGTTTTCTAGGCTTAGCCGGGTATTACAGAAGGTTTGTCAAAGATTTCTCCAAAATTGCCCTACCACTGACACAGCTGACTCAGAAGGAGATATCATTTGACTGGACCGACTAGAGGGAATCAGCTTTTCAAGAGTTGAAAACTCGACTAGTGACTGCACTGATTCTCACCTTACCCTCAGGTACGGATGGTTATACTGTATATAGTGATGCTTCTCATAAGGGTTTAGGGTGTGTTTTAATGCAAAATGGAAAAGTGATTGCTTATGCTTCCAGACAACTGAGACCACATGAAAAGAACTACCCGACCCATGATTTGGAACTTGCTGCAGTAGTGTTTGCACTGAAAATCTGGCGTCACTACCTTTATGGGGCAACATGTGAGGTGTATACAGACCACAAGAGTTTAAAGTACTTCTTCACACAGAAAGAACTGAACATGAGACAATGGAGATGGTTAGAACTGATAAAAGATTATGATTTGTAAATTTTGTCCCATCCGGGGAAAGCTAACACCATTGCCGATGCATTGAGTCGGAAGTTGATTGGAAATTTGGCCTGTTTACTCACCGGGCAGAAAGAATTGCTATGTGACCTTGAAAGACTTGAAATTGAGATTGTTTTACGTGAACAAGGTGGAACAATAGCCGCTATTTCTGCTCAACCAGCACTAATTGAAGAGATTAAAGAGAAACAGCAACAGGATGACTTCTTGAGGAAGATCATCAAAGAACGGGAATCCAAACCAAGGCCGAATTTCAAATTTGAAAATAATGTGTTGAAATTTTAAGGAAGATTGTGTGTACCGAGTGATTCTAAACTGAAAACAAGAATTCTGCAAAAAGGCCACAATTCAAAACTATCTATTCATCTAGGAAATACGAAAATGTACCAAGATTTGAAATTGAATTTCTGGTGGCCGACAATGAAGAAAGAAATTGCTGACTTTGTGTCGAAATGTCTTCATTGCCAACAAGTCAAAGCTGAGCATCAACGACCCGCAGGTTTACTGCATCCCTTACCGATACCGGAGTGGAAATGGGAACATATCACTATGGATTTCATTGTTAGTTTACCTCGCTCCAGTAAAGGTATGGATTCAATTTGGGTTATTGTTGATAGACTGACTAAATCTGCTCATTTCTTACATGTCAAAACAATTTATAATGCGAACAAATTGGCTGTAATCTATATTGATGAGATTGTTAGATTGTATGGAGTGCCTGTGTCCATTATTTCTGATAGGAACTCGAAGTTTACATCGAGATTTTGGCAAAGTTTACAGACAGCATTGGGTACTGAACTGAGACTGAGTAGTGCATACCATCCTCAGATAGATGGTCAGTCAGAAAGAACCATCCAGACTCCGGAGGATTTATTGCGAATGTGCATCCTGGATTTCCAAGGAAATTGGGAAAGCTATTTACCGTTGGCTGAATTCACCTACAACAACAATTTTCATTTAAGCATTGGTATGGTGCCTTTCGAGGCTTTATATGGCAGGAAATGTCGATCTCCTATCTGCTGGGCAGAAGTTGGAGATGGGCCTTTGCTTGGGCCTGAGATTGTACAGGAAACCAGAGAAAAGGTAAAAATGATCCAATAGAGACTGAAAACCGCACAAAGCCGACAGAAAAGTTATACAAATGTTCGAAGGCGGGACAAAGAGTATGAAGTAGGTGATCATGTTTTTGTAAAAGTAACACCGATGAAAGGCTAGACTCGTTTTGGAGTCAAGGGTAAACTAGCGCCGAGATATGTCGGATCGTATGAGATTATTGAGAAGATTAATCCGGTGGCGTATCAAGTAGCGCTTCCTCATGAAATGGAGCATATGCATAACGTGTTCCATATTTCAATGTTGAGGGAATACCTTCGGGATACCTTCCATGTGATTGAGCCTACCCGTGTAGTGCTAAGTGATGACTACACTTATGAAGAACGGCCTATTCAGATTGTAAACCGACGGATCAAGAAGTTAAGGAATAAAGAGATTCCGTTAGTGAAAGTTGACTAGCAAAACCATGGTGGCGTGTATGCCACTTGGGAGAGGAAAGATGATATGATCAAGAGATATCCTGAATTGTTCCCACTGAATCCTGTTTTCTTTCAAAATGAAGGTAATTCGAGTTTGGAGGATCAAACTCTTTATAAGGAGGGGAGACTGTGACAACCTTCACTACTGTTTACTGATAACACCACTGATTGCTGCTAACCTGAGACTGATCATGATAAGTAATTGAATTGATTGAAATTCTGAGCTAATTGATTGAGTGTGTTAGTTTAAATGCATGTCTATTTGTTTGCCTGTTAAATGATTTGTTCATATGTTATGTTTTAAACTGCAAATTGAAGGCCTTATCGGCGACCGAATCTGAAAATGATTAATGTTATGTGTTGACTAGAATTTATGTAATTTTATGATATATTTAATTGAAATGTGATTTGGTATGATTAAATTAGATTAAATAAAGCTAAATTAATTAAGTTAGACTTATCTACCATTTTGCCACTTAGTGGACAATTCTAGGACTTGTTTAATCACACTTCATACACTTTTGACACAACACTTCTTCAGCCATTTTGAGAGCTTGAACCCACTAAGAGAGAGAGAGAGAGAGAGAGAGAGAGAGAGAGATTGAGTTCAACTTGAGGGTTTTGCTTGGAAATTAAAGGAATTGAAGGTTAATTGCATATTTGAGCTTCCATACTTGACATTGAGGACCTAAGGTAGGATACTCATCCTTTAGTTTGTGAATTCAAGTTGTACTTTGCATGATTCATGGAAGTTTAGAGATTAAAGTCTGGAATTGGTTAAGATTGTTGAATTGAAGCTTGTATCATGCATGCATGTGCATATCATGAAGTTTGAGGTTGTTTTCATAGAAATTGTTACATGCATGTTCATATTATAGTTCTAGTACATGAATTCATCATGTTTTTGGAAGTTTAGACTCAATTGAGCTTGCATTGAAGCTTTGAATTTGGTTGAGCACTTGCATGTCATATTTAAATTATGTTTTTAAACTTTGGATGAAAATTGTGCTCAATTGAACTACCTTTGGACTTTGATTTCTCAAATTGATCTTTGAAACATGCCATATTATGAGTTTACAAGTGTTTTCCAGAAAATTAGCCCAAATTTGGGCTTTGATTTTGCAAATTGATCTTTGAAACATGTCATACTATGAGTTTTAAAGTGCTTTCCAAAAAATTAGCCTAAAAGGACCGAATTTGATGCTTTAAATGTTGAGTTTCATGCTTGGAGACAAATCTGGAAATTCCAGATTTTGAATCCACGCTCGAGCGTACACTCTGAGTTCATGCAGTCCGCTCGAGCGAGTAAAGTAACGCTCGAGCGTGAAATGTGTGTATCCAGTACTTTGCATGTGTTTACAGTCCGCTCGAGCGAGAGAATGCAGGCTCGAGCGAGGACTTGTGTCTCACGCTTGAGCGGGGGTCGAGCGCCCGTCGAGCGTGAATTTCATGCATCCAGTACTTTTGTAGTCCGTTCGAGCGAGGAAAGTCACGCTCGAGCGTAGCTTATTTATCTGTATGTCCGCTCGAGCGTAGAAAGCCACGCTCGAGCGAAACCCTTGTTTTTCTGAAAATTTTGAAAAGTGTTTGAAAGTGCATCTTTGTATCCTTATTCCATCCTAGGCATTCTTAGGCCTAGTTTAAGACATCTTAATGAGGATATTGATGTAGAACCACACCGGGGCAAATTAGGGATTAAGTTCTTATTTCCCAACTGTGTAGCTTAGTTTGTGTTCGTTCTGTAATTGTGTAGGGTTGGCATCCGAGGACGCGTACTAGCTTATCTGTAGCCCAGAACTCTGTGAGTAACAATGTTGTAAAGATATGTTTATTTTCTGAATAAATGACTGTATTGCTTTATGAAATGACACTGTTTGCTGAATGAATGTTTGTCCTATTTGTGAACTGTATTCGTGGCATCCATAGCAATTTACTGTTACTGAACTGTTACTACTACTGTTACAGAGATCTCTGTCGGTTCCCATGTTTGGAACCACTGCTGTTTACTGAAATGATGGCCATCATCGACTGCTCGGTCTATTAAGACCTACTGTACTGTTTTGCTATTGGATGTACCACATATGACTATTCTAGTTTCTGAATAACTGTTATGGCATGAAATATGAGCCACAAACTGAAGGACTGATATACTGATAAATGACTATTTCCAATACTGAAAGGACATTCATTCTTAACCTCTTTACGCATATGTTATTCACTGGGCTTTAGTTCACTGCTCATATATATATGTAGGTGTACAGGCACCAAATCGTTGCTAGGAGCGTCATGCTAAGCTCTTGTTTTGTCAAGCCAACCAACGTGCCTCACTACGAGGTTCCAAGTCCTTCAAGTTAGGGCTTTTTGGGGTGTTTTAGTTTTCCCTCCTTTTGTATCTGGTTTGGTAACACTGTATAGACTGAATGATATGTGTACCTGTACTGTACTGTTATGGTAGAGATTTGGTCCCTAACCTGAATATTTGTGTACGATGTATGTACATACTGTTTTGTTTCGAATGTGAACATGTTATGAAAAATCTTTTTGCATACAGACTGTCACAGCTCATTGGACAACTTTTAATTACTGTTTTGGCTTCCGCCAGCCCCTGTACTTTGTGTTACTGTTTTACTGTTAAGCAGGCCTTCGGTAATCTCGGATTACTGGCCGGTTACGGTGCTAAACCCATAGGGGCGGGTGTGGGTCGTGACATTGCTAGTCGGCCACAGGTGTGGATGGCCGCATACATGAAAGATAGGATATCAAATAGTGATTCAATTATGGTATATGATACTACTTTATTGGACTTTTAATACGATTTATATTGGATGCTAATTATTGAATTCAAAACTGCAGACTTAGATGAATGAGCTAATGGAGCACATAGAGGGATTTTTTAATGACCCTGCTGCATTAAATATTTCACATAAGTTATGGCGCCGGAGCGACCTGGTCGTGTTCGGACTTTTAGATTGGGACCGTCCCCCACTGATGTTTTTGGAAGTAGATATAGACAGTCACAAGAGCAGAATCGTATCTTCCAAACTCGAGTTCAAGAACAAGTTGAAGAGAAACTTCAATGGTACCAAATGTAGTTAGAGTTGAGGATGAATGACGTAATGGAGAAACATAGTCTCTGTCTTTGTCTCTCTTCTCTTTCTCTCTCTCTCTCTCTCTCCCTCACTCATCACTCTTCTCTATCTGTCTCTCACTCTCTTTCTCTCCGTGTCTCTGTTTTTTTTCTCTGTCTCTCTTCTCTTTCTCTCTCTCACTCATCACTCTTCTCTTTCTCTCTCTCACTCATCACTCTTCGCTGTCTGTCTGTCTGTCTGTCTCTCTCTGTGTCTCTCGCTCATCTCTCTTCTCTCTATTTCTCTTATCTCTCTTCTCTCTCTGTCTCTCTTCTCTCTCTCTCTTCTCTTTATCTCTCTCCCTCTCTCGCTCATCTCTCCCTGTCTCTCTCTCGTTTATCTATTTTCGCTCTTTTTCTCTCTCTTTCTATTTGTCTGTCTCTTTTCACCAATTTTTTCATTTTCCACTCTCTTTTGTCTTTCTCTCTCTTACTCATCACTCTTCTCTGTCTGTCTGTCTGTCTCTCTCTGTGTCTCTCACTTATCTATCTCTTCTCTCATCTCTTTTCTCTCTGTCTCTCTTGCTCACCTCTCTTCTCTCTATCTCTCTCGTTCATCTCTCTTCTCTTTATGTCTCTCTCGCTCATCTCTCTTCTCTCTATCTCTCTCCTTGTCTCTCTCGTTCATCTCTCCTCTCTCTCTGTCTCTTTTTCTGTCTCTCACTCGCTATCTCTTTCTCTCTCTCTCTCTCTCTCTCTCTCTCTCTCTCTCTCTTTTTTCTCTTTCTCACTCATCACTCTTCTTTGTCTCTCTATGTCTCTGTCTCTCTCTCACTCATCACTCTTTCTCTGTTTGTCTGTCTGTCTGTCTGTGTCTCCCATCCATCTTTCTTCTCTTTATCTCTCTCATCTCTCTTCTCTTTATCTCTCTCGCTCATCTCTCTCTGTCTCTCTCTCGTTTATCTCTTTTCGCTCTTTTTTTTTTCTCTCTCTCTCTTTCTTTCTTTGTTTTTCTCTCGATCATCTCTTTTCACTCTCTTTCTTTCTGTCTTTGTCTATCTCTCACTCATCTTTTGTTTCTCTCTATCTCTGTCTCTATCTCTTTCTCTCTATGTCCCTCTCTCTCTCTCTATCTCTTTCCTTTTCTGTCTCTTTCTCACTTATCACTCTTCTCTTTCTCTTTCTCTCTCTATGTCTGTCTAGTTGTCTCTCACTCTTTTATCTCTCTTTCTCTCTGTGTGTTTGTCCGCTTGTCTGTCTCTCTCCCCTATTGTGTTCACCTTGCTCACTCTCTCCCTCCCCTCTTCTATATTTACCGAGCTCTTCACTACAAGAAAATGCACTTTTAGTCTCTCTCGCTCACCACTCTGTCTCTCTCTCTATCTCTCTTCTCTATTTGTCTCTCACTCATCTCTCTCTCACCACCCATCTCCTCTACCACATTCACTACTACTGCAAATGTCATTCCACTACCAGCATTATTACCATTGTTGCCACTCCACCTCTACGACTACTATTACTATCACCGTCGTTATCACTCCACTAACACTACCACCACTAGTACCACCACTACTACTACTATTACCTCTCCTCTACCGGCGCCACTCCATCTCTTCTACCACTACCACAACTTCACCACTAATCTCCTTTGCCACCACCATCACCTTTTATCCACCACTAATCTCCTTTTAGTTGTGGTATAGATAGTTTTGGCAACTAAAATAATTTTCTAGAGCATGTTCAACTCTCCCTAAAAACAATTTGAGGTATAAATATCCCTCTCTTTCTATCTATCTCTCCCGCTCATCTCTCATCTCTCTATCTCTCGTATCTCTTCTCTTTCTGTCTTTCTCGCTCATCTCTCTTCTCTCTATCTCTCTATCTGTCTCTTTCGTTCATCTCTCTTCTCTCTCTGTCTCTCACTCTCTATCTCTTTCTCTCTTTGTCTCTCTCTTTCTCTCTCTCTCTTCTCTATCTCTCTTGCTCATCTCTCTTCTCTCGCTCTCTCTCATCTCTCTTTCTCTCTCTGTCTCTCTCGCTCATCTCACTTTTCTTTACCTCTCTTGTTCATCTCTCTTCTTTCTATGTCTCTCTCGCACATCTCTCTTCTCTCTATCTCTCTATCTGTATCTCTCGTTCATCTCTCTTCTCTCTGTCTCTCTTGCTCATCTCTCTTCCCTCTATCTCTCTCTCTGTCTCGCTCATTCATCTCTCCTCTCTCTTTGTCTCTTTTTCTGTCTCTCACTCTCTATCTCTTTCTCTCTTTGTCTCTCTATCTCTCTCTCACTCTCTACTACTACTATTACCTCTCCTCTACCACCACCACTCTATCTCCTTTACCACTACTACATCTTTACCACTAATCTCCTTCGCCATCACCACCACCACCACCACTACTACCACCAGCACCTCATATCCCCCACCATCACCACTACCGTCGCTTCCTCTCCTCTACCACAAAAAATTAGTTCTTGACTTTTAGTATAAAAAAAAAATGGGCCACAAAAAAATATTTTTAATTGACCATAAAAAATTAATTTTATTTTAACGAAAAATATTTTTTATTGAAATATTACCCCTATTCTACCAAATAAAAAAAAAATTCATTAAAAAAAATTGAAACAAAAATTTCCCCTTTTTTTCGCTGACCTGCCCACCCAAACTTATTTCTCCCATTTTTTTCGTCTTTCCCCCCATTTTTTCATTTCCTTTCAGGTTTGCAGAGCCCTGTTTCGAAACAACACGTCTCTCTCTCTCTCTCTCTCTCTCTCTCTCTCTCTCTCTCTCTCACGGAGGCGAGCGACGAACGGTCAATTTTGGTTCGAGTTATGAGCTCCGAAGCTGCTTCTTCAAAGCTTCTTCACCAATTGCTGGGACCAGAAAATGTGTAGCGTTGGTGTCTGGGTTGTCCTCTATTACTTCACCAACGATTTCATCGTTCAACGAGGTTCCAATCAGCTCAATCTCTGTTTTTCTTTGTTAAAAAATGGTTTTGATTTTTGGGTTTTTGTTTTTTTGTGCGATTCTGATTTCTATCTATGTGGGTTTTCTCTGTAGTTGATTGAGTCTTTGATTAATCGAGTTGACTTGTCGGAATCAGAGGCCGAGGCGTCTTTGGATTTTCTTTGGGTATTGGGTATTGGGTAGATAGTGGGATTGGCAAGGGCAGTGATCAAGCATTGTAAAAGGGTGGAAGGATTGGGTGAAGATGGGGTTGACATTGTTGGGACGGGAGGTGATGGTGCAAACACCGTGAACATTTCAACTGGTGCTTCAATTCTTGCTGCTGCTTGTGGTGCAAAAATTGCAAAAGTGAGATTGTTTTTGAATTGATTTGTTGTGTAAATTTTCAATACTTGTACGTGTTTGGAAATATAAAAGCTCATTGAGGGTTTGCATTGCAGCAAGGTAATCGATCAAGTTATTCAGCTTGTGGAAGTGCCGATGTGTTAGAAGCCTTGGGGGTTGTAATTGACCTGGACCCAGAGGTTTGTGTTATGAGTAATGCTATACAAAATAACAACTTTTACAAATTTTTTTTTTTTACTCATTGATTGTCCTATTTCATATTTGAAAATTGTATTCTTGCATGCCGCATTCGTGATTAAGAAAAGTTTGTAACTTTGGTTACAAATTAACATCTTTTACGAAAATTTTTTTTACTCATTGATTGTCCTATTTCAGATTTGAAAGTTGTATTACTGCAGGCCACATTTGTGATTAAGAAAAGTTTGTAAATTTTGTTAGTTTGCATAGCATTTTCCCTGTGTTATTTATGAAATTAGGCCTTGTCTGGGTTCCGTTGTAGCATTCTCTAGCATCCTGAATTATGAAAGCAATACTAAATTCACTAACTGAATTGCAATTAGGCAAACATATGATTTCAAAAATATTTTTTGGGTCAATTAAAATATTTGTGGTATGCCATTCCAACCTCTTTTTTGGTCAATTAACTTTTTGAAAATATGCCATTCCAACCTCTTTTTTGCTTCAAGCCTGTTGTGTTTTTTGTTGTTTGCAATAAATAGGCATTAGCATGACCCTTGAATTAATTGTGTAAGATTGATTAGTTTATATATATATATATATATATCTTTTTTGCTTATTTTAATTATGGGTGAATGTAGACTATTGACACTGTTGATTTGTTGGGGACAAACATGCCTAACTATAATTGGTGGGTGGTGTTGATCTGGAGTTTTGGTGCAATAAGGAGCCAAAGATTAGCTCATTCAACAGTGATTTTGATATGCCCCATAAACAGCTGTAAGTACTGAATTGGTGTTTTCAAATCTTTTTGAATAATTTATAGCTGTAAGTTCTCAACACTAAAGAATGCATATAGCTTTGAGGTTACACCTTTTTTTGTTTTTGAAAAGTTTTGATAGAATTTAGATTTTATATCTTTTGCCTTGCATAATAAATATGGTCATGGAGCTACTCGAGATTTTCAATAGATGCTATTTGGATTGAGTAGTTTTGATTTGAGCTTAGAAATCAAGTCTGATGCTGAAATTATTGAGGATATGGATCTTGGTGAAACCATTGTTGGATTTTATGACCGAAGTACATGGACTTGAAATAACAGGTGAGTGACCTAGGCCTAGATCATAATGGTCACCTAGGCCTAGATTAAACAAACTTGTGAGAGCAAGCGGCGCATCGATAGGATATACGATTAGAGATATAGACAAAAAAATGTGAGAGAAAAAGGCAAAAACGAGCCGTATGGGGGCAAAAATTGAAAATAGCACCCAAACAGCCCCGAGATCATCACAGTCACATCGGCCTAGATTAAACACACTTGTGAGAGCAACAAAACATCACTTTTTCCACAATTCCTGAAATAGTAAGAAAAACTAACATTTCTATAAAGAACAATAAAAAAAAGCCTTATTTGAGTAAAGACCACAAATGAAAAAGTCTGGGGATGTGGTTGGTATTAAAACTAGACGACAAACATTGGAAAGGATGATATTGATAGAATTGTCATGTTCATTGGATATATACATATGTTGTTTTATTTATAAAATGGTATTGATAGTCATTTAATTTGTTCATATTACCTTTAATTTGTTCAATCTTTTAGATTTGTCTCTGTTTTTTAGTTCTTGTTAGTGGTATATATATATATATATATATATGTCATGTAGATATGTTTTTATCTATTTATATCTATCTATTGCAGATTGAATATATATAATATATATATATTGTTGGAGAGCTTGATTCAGTAGCGATTTGTGATTTGTTTCTTTTAGATTGAATTTTTTTCATTTCCTTTCAGGTTTGCATAGCCCTGTTTCGAAACAACACGTCTCTCTCTCTCTCTCTCTCTCTCTCTCTCTCTCTCTCTCTCTCTCACGGAGGCGAGCGACGAGTGGCGAATTTTGGTTCGAGTTATGAGCTCCGAAGCTGCTTCTTCAAAGCTTCTTCACCAATTGCTGGGACCAGAAAATGTGCAGCGTTGGTGTCTGGGTTGTCCTCTGTTACTTCACCAACGATTTCATCGTTCAACGAGGTTCCAATCAGCTCAATCTCTGTTTTTCTTTGTTAAAAAATGGTTTTGATTTTTGGGTTTTTGTTTTTTTGTGCGATTCTGATTTCTATCTATGTGGGTTTTCTCTGTAGTTGATTGAGTCTTTGATTAATCGAGTTGACTTGTTGGAATCAAAGGCCGAGGCGTCTCTGGATTTTCTTTGGGTATTGGGTATTGGGTAGATAGTGGGATTGGCAAAGGCAGTGATCAAGCATTGTAAAAGGGTGGAAGGATTGGGTGAGATGGGGTTGACATTGTTGGGACGGGAGGTGACGGTGCAAACACCATGAACATTTCAACTGGTGCTTCAATTCTTGCTGCTGCTTGTGGTGCAAAAATTGCAAAGGTGAGATTGTTTTTGAATTGCTTTGTTGTGTGAATTTGCAATACTTGTACGTGTTTGGAAATATAAAAGCTCATTGAGGGTTTGCATTGCAGCAAGGTAATCGATCAAGTTATTCAGCTTGTGGAAGTGCCGATGTGTTAGAAGCCTTGGGGGTTGTAATTGACCTGGACCCAGAGGTTTGTGTTATGAGTAATGCTATACAAAATAACAACTTTTACAAATTTTTTTTTTTTTACTCATTGATTGTCCTATTTCATATTTGAAAATTGTATTCTTGCATGCCGCATTCGTGATTAAGAAAAGTTTGTAACTTTGGTTACAAATTAACATCTTTTACGAAAAAATTTTTTTACTCATTGATTGTCCTATTTCAGATTTGAAAGTTGTATTACTGCAGGCCACATTTGTGATTAAGAAAAATTTGTAAATTTTGTTAGTTTGCATAGCATTTTCCCTGTGTTATTTATGAAATTAGGCCTTGTCTGGGTTCCGTTGTAGCATTCTCTAGCATCCTGAATTATGAAAGCAATACTAAATTCACTAGAACTGAATTGCAATTAGGCAAACATATGATTTCAAAAATATTTTTTTGGTCAATTAAAATATTTGTGGTATGCCATTCCAACCTCTTTTTTGGTCAATTAACTTTTTGAAAATATGCCATTCCAACCTCTTTTTTGCTTCAAGCCTGTTGTGTTTTTTGTTGTTTGCAATAAATAGGCATTAGCATGACCCTTGAATTAATTGTGTAAGATTGATTAGTTTATATATATATATATATATATCTTTTTTGCTTATTTTAATTATGGGTGAATGTGGACTATTGACACTGTTGATTTGTTGGGGACAAACATGCCTAACTATAATTGGTGGATGGTGTTGATCTGGAGTTTTGGTGCAATGAGGAGCCAAAGATTAGCTCATTCAACAGTGATTTTGATATGCCCCATAAACAGCTGTAAGTACTGAATTGGTGTTTTCGAATCTTTTTGAATAATTTATAGCTGTAAGTTCTCAACACTAAAGAATGCATATAGCTTTGAGGTTACACCTTTTTTTGTTTTTGAAAAGTTTTGATAGAATTTAGATTTTATATCTTTTGCCTTGCATAATAAATATGGTCATGGAGCTGCTCGAGATTTTCAATAGATGGTATTTGGATTGAGTAGTTTTGATTTGAGCTTGGAAATCAAGTTTGATGCTGGAATTATTCTATTTGGATTGAGTAGTTTTGATTTGAGCTTAGAAATCAAGTCTGATGCTGAAATTATTGAGGATATGGATCTTGGTGAAACCATTGTTGGATTTTATGACCGAAGTACATGGACTTGAAATAACAGGTGAGTGACCTAGGCCTAGATCATAACGGTCACCTAGGCCTAGATTAAACAAACTTGTGAGAGCAAGCGGCGCATCGATAGGATATACGGTTAGAGATATAGACAAAAAAATGTGAGAGAAAAAGGCAAAAACGAGCCGTATGGGGGCAAAAATTGAAAATAGCACCCAAACAGCCCCGAGATCATCACAGTCACATCGGCCTAGATTAAACACACTTGTGAGAGCAACAAAACTTCACTTTTTCCACAATTCCTGAAATAGTAAGAAAAACTAACATTTCTATAAAGAACAATAAAAAAAGCCTTATTTGAGTAAAGACCACAAATGAAAAAGTCCGGGGATGTGGTTGGTATTAAAACTAGACGACAAACATTGGAAATGATGATATTGATAGAATTGTCGTGTTCATTGGATATATACATATGTTGTTTTATTTATGAAATGGTATTGATAGTCATTTAATTTGTTCATATTACCTTTAATTTGTTCAATCTTTTAGATTTGTCTCTGTTTTTTAGTTCTTTTTAGTGGTATATATATATATATATATATATGTCATGTAGATATGTTTTTATCTATTTATATCTATCTATTGCAGATTGAATATATATAATATATATATATATATATTGTTGGAGAGCTTGATTCAGTAGCGATTTGTGATTTGTTTCTTTTAGATTGAATATATATATTTGAAGTGTTTTAAAAAACTTGTGTTTGGTGTTATTGTTGTATCTAAACTATGTATTGTTGGGCTGCTTGTGTAGGTTTATTTATAAGATTGGAAGTTTTAATTAATGATGGTTCTTGGATTGCAGTTGATTATATATTTCATTCTTGTTTTTTGGGCTTTTAAATTTCTCTCTCTGAGTTATGACTCAAAGGACAACAAAACAGGGTCTACAAAGTTAGAAACTTGTGACACTTTATTTAGGATTAATTACACTTTCCATTCCTATAATTTGATCAGAATTTTACTTTAGTTCCTATGGTTTTAATTTGAACAATTTGATCTTTACATTTTAAGTTTAGTTTTAATTTAGTTCTTTTGTCTAATTTTTTATTAATTTTGTTTACATGTACATCTTAAAAAATTAAGAAATATTTCAAAATTATTAATTTTAGTATTCTATTTAGACAGAAGTACTAAATTAAAATTGTACTTAAATTGTAGTGGCTAAATTGTTCAACTTGAAACTATAAAATAAATTTTAAATCAAAATAAAAGGATGGAAAGTGTAATTAACTCCTTTATTTATTATTTTTTTTGAAGTTGTTTATTTCTGTGTTTAATTATTTATGGGACAATTGCAAAAAAACAAACAAAAAAATAGATGACATTGACACCAATTTGGCAGGGATGAAGGTCTTGCTAATATTACTCTTATCACTGATTTGTTTGTTTTTACTTTCAGTTTGTTTTTATTCCATCACTCATCTTTCTCATACTCGTCTTTTTCTACAATGTGTCAGCCACCAGGGCCCTCACCATCGTGATTTTTCGGAGCATCTTCAACTCTCCCTAGCAACAATTGCAGGTAAAAATCTGCTGTATCACTCTCACTCACTCAATCTCTGCCTATGTCTCCCTCTCACTGTCAATGTTTGTGTTGATGTTTGTTGCTGGGATATGTGGAGAATACCATTTCACTCTGTTGTTTATGAAGTCCCCCAATCTATTATTTGCCTTGGAGTGTGTTATTTCTCCTCTTTCTTTTAAGTATCCCTTTCTATATTGGCAAATATACGTAATGAGAATCAAATATATTTTTTTTTGCTTTTATAAGTTATTTGTAAAACCGAAGCATCATTGGGGAACATTTTTAATATTATAGTTAAACTATCAAAAAAAAATTGTTTGACACCTCTTGTGATATACATTTTTAATATACATTTTTAAAAATATAATAAAAAAAAGTATCCCTTTCTAATATACATTTTCAATTCCAAACTATCAACACTCTCTCTCTCTCTGTGTGTGTGTGTGACACCTCTTGTCATATATATATATATATATATATAAACATAGCATTATAATACTAAATTATTTACAAAGGAATGTAGAGCAAATGTTGTTGATGCCAAGACCCAATAATAGGTTGATGATTCCTTTCACCAACCTCACATGGAAATCCAGTTAATGACAGCCTACAAACTCCAACCTTTGAATGTTTTCTGATTAGTCAATAAATGGGTTTTGACCAGGTAATCATCAAACAGATGTAGCATTAAAATTGTTGCCACATTAGGTACTATTACATGTTAAATTATTTATTTATTTATTTATTTTTAATTTTCTCTGGCCTTGGAATGAAATGGAATATTAATATCCTAAAATGAAATGGATTAGTAATCATCAAACATATTTCTTAACAAGTTCACTTCCAATAACACGGATGAAACACGCATCAGTTCTATTAGCCACAGCTCTAGCTAAAAGTGTCTTACCGGTACCAGGTGGACCATAGCATAGAACATCCTTAAGAGGGTCGATTCCGGGGTTCACAAACTTTTCAGGATCATTCCTTTGAAGTAACTACATAAGGAGAAACAAATAAACCATAAACAAAGAAAAAGAAAAGAAAAGAAATGAAAAAACAGAGAAAACCATAAATAAGAGAAAGATTGTTTTCAACACTGTAGTAGTCTTCTATGTCTGTCTGTGCTTGTCAAGCTTGATTGTGTTTGCCATGACCATATATGAACCTTGCACTTTTCTCTGTGTAAACATGAGTCTCATTGTCCAATCTGTTAATACCCATTTTAAATTTGTAATTAGCAGCTTATACTCTGAAATTGATAATTTAATTACCCATTTCAAATATTTTCATTAAAAACAAACCTAACATTATTTCTCATTTTCTTTGGTATAGATGGATGATGGATGATCTCGTGCACGAAGCTAAATTGTACAAGACTACTTGGCAGTATAAGCATTTTTGGGAGGATTAAATATTTTTGGATGGATGTGTATGGATAACAAATATTAGTAGTTTTATTTGTTGATAGCTGAGCATGGATAACAAATAGTTATGTTTCAAATTGTTATACTAGATGGATGTGACTTGTGAATGAAAACTTAGAATAGTTGTATTGTGTCGAATGTTAATGAATTATGTATTTTGTCGAATGTTAATGATTCAGTTGATTTGAATGATGCTTTAAAATTATAGGTTTATTATGGATTGAATGAATTATTAGGAATTACAGGTGTATTGTTTTCTTGCTTTTGGCGACCAATTTATTAGTCGCGACAAATAAATAATTTTTTTTCGCAAAAAATGACAATTGCCGACCAAGAGTTTTGGTCGCAAAAAATAAATCTATTGCCGACCAAAACAGTTCTTGGTCGTGGAATCTCACTTTTGCCGACCAAAAGTTTTGGTTGCGAAAAGTAGCAAATGACGACCGAATTTTTCGGTCGTAGAAAAAATATATTTAGCGACGAAGAAGTTTTGGTCGTGGAATGTAATTTTTGCCGACCAATTTTGTTGGTCGTTGAAAATAATTTTTGCCGACCAAATTAGCGACTAACATGTATGGTCATTGAATGTAATTTTTGCCGACCAAAGTCTTTTCGCGACTAAATAGGTTAGTCGCAATAATTATATGTTTAGCGACCAACAATTTAGTCGCCAAATAGAATGTTTTGCCGACTAAAAATCTTTTTAGTCGCTAATTACTTTCCGCGACCCTCAATTGCCGACCAACTTGGCGACCAAAAAAATTGGTCGGGAATATGTTTTGCCGACCAAAAATGAACTTTTAGCGACCAATTTTTTGGTCGGCAAATGTGTTAATTCTTGTAGTGTAATTGATTGAGTGTGTTAGTTTAAATGCATGTCTATTTGTTTGCCTGTTAAATGATCTGTTCATATGTTATGTTTTAAACTGAAAATTGAAGACCTTATCGGCGACCGAATCTGAAAATGATTAATGTTATGTGTTGACTAGAATTTATGTAATTTTATGATATATTTAATTAAAATGTGATTTGGTATGATTAAATTAGATTAAATAAAGCTAAATTAATTAAGTTAGACTTATCTACCATTTTGCCACTTAGTGGACAATTCTAGGACTTGTTTAATCACACTTCATACACTTTTGACACAACACTTCTTCAGCCATTTTGAGAGCTTGAACCCACTAAGAGAGAGAGAGAGAGAGAGAGAGAGAGAGAGAGATTGAGTTCAACTTGAGGGTTTTGCTTGGAAATTAAAGGAATTGAAGGTTAATTGCATATTTGAGCTTCCATACTTGACATTGAGGACCTAAGGTAGGATACTCATCCTTTAGTTTGTGAATTCAAGTTGTACTTTGCATGATTCATGGAAGTTTAGAGATTAAAGTCTGGAATTGGTTAAGATTGTTGAATTGAAGCTTGTATCATGCATGCATGTGCATATCATGAAGTTTGAGGTTGTTTTCATAGAAATTGTTACATGCATGTTCATATTATAGTTCTAGTACATGAATTCATCATGTTTTTGGAAGTTTAGACTCAATTGAGCTTGCATTGAAGCTTTGAATTTGGTTGAGCACTTGCATGTCATATTTAAATTATGTTTTTAAACTTTGGATGAAAATTGTGCTCAATTGAACTACCTTTGGACTTTGATTTCTCAAATTGATCTTTGAAACATGCCATATTATGAGTTTACAAGTGTTTTCCAGAAAATTAGCCCAAAAGGATCGAATTTGATGCATTAAAGTTGAGTTTTGAGCTTGAGGTTCAAATCTGAAAATTCCAGATTTTGGACTCACGCTCGAGCAAGGAACTCCATGCTCGAGCGTATGCCTTGTGTTCATGCAGTCCGCTTGAGCGAGCAAAGTGGCGCTCGAGCGTGAAATGCGTGTATCCAGTACTTTGCATATGTTCACAGTCCGCTCGAGCGAGAGAGTTCACGCTCGAGCGAGGACTTGTGTCTCACGCTCGAGCGTGGATCGAGCGCCCGTCGAGCGTGATTTTTGTGCATCCAGTATTTTTACTGTAGCTTACAGTCCGATCGAGCGACGGAAGTCACGCTCGAGCAGAGATCTTTTGTCTGCATGTCCGCTCGAGCGTAGAAAACCACGCTCGAGCGAGACCCCTATTTTCTGAAAATTTTGAAAAGTGTTTGAAAGTGCATCTTTGCATTCTCATTCCATCCTAGGCATTCTTAGGCCTAGTTTAAGACATCTTAATGAGGATATTGATGTAGAACCACATCGGGGCAAATTAGGGATTAAGTTCTTATTTCCCAACTGTGTAGCTTAGTATGTGTTCGTTCTGTAATTGTGTAGGGTTGGCATCCGAGGACGCGTACTAGCTTATCTGTAGCCCAGAACTCTGTGAGTAACAATATTGTAAAGATATGTTCAATTGAGATTATTTTCTGAACAAATGACTGTACTGCTTTATGAAATGACACTGTTTACTGAATGAATGTTTGTCCTATTTGTGAATTGTATTCGTGGCATCCATAGCAATATACTGTTAATGCTACTGTTACAGAGATCTCTTGTCGGTTCCCATGTTTGGAACCACTGCTGTTTACTGAAATGATGGCCATCATGACTGCTCGGTCTATTAAGACCTACTGTACTGTTTTGCTATTGGATGTACCACATATGACTATTCTAGTTTCTGAATAACTGTTATGGCATGAAATATGAGCCACAACATGAAGGACTGATATACTGATAAATGACTGTTTCCAATACTAAAGGACATTCATTCTAACCTCTTTACGCATATGTTATTCACTAGGCTTTACTTCACTGCTCATATACTATATATGTAGGTGTACAGGCACCAAACCGTTGCTAGGAGCGTCATGCTAAGCTCTTGTTTTGTCAAGCCAACCAACGTGCCTCACTACGAGGTTCCAAGTCCTTCAAGTTAGGGCTTTTTGGGGTGTTTTAGTTTTCCCTCCTTTTGTATCTGGTTTGGTAACACTGTATAGACTGAATGATATGTGTACCTGTACTGTACTGTTATGGTAGAGATTTGGTCCCTAACCTGAATATTTGTGTACGATGTATGTACATACTGTTTTGTTTCGAATGTGAACATGTTATGAAAAATCTTTTTGCATACAGACTGTCACAGCTCATTGGACAACTTTTAATTACTGTTTTGGTTTCCGCCAGCCCCTGTACTCTGTGTTACTGTTTTACTGTTAAGCAGGCCTTCGGTAATCTCGGATTACTGGCCGGTTACGGTGCTAAACCCATAGGGGCGGGTTTGGGTCGTGACATAATTGGATTTATTGGAATACAATAATGTGTTCTGGACTAATTGGGATACAAGTACTTGAAAGAGGATTTCTTAATAAATTTCCCAAAAAATAAACCAAAATGTGCATCTTTTATAAAAATGATCACATAAAATAGGATATGGGTAGTATTAGGCTACCTACATGAGGTTTATGTCCTTGGACAATTTAGGCTTGGTTTGGCATCTAATTAAAAATTCATATTTTAAAAAAAAAAATGACTTTTTTTTAATAAGATTTTTAGTGTATTTTTTAAATTTATTTATTTTTTACTTTTTAAAATAAACCAAAATATGCTTTTATTTATTTATTAATTTATTTATAAAAATGATCACATAAAATAGGACATGGATAGTGTAGTGGGTAAAAATCAAACCACTTAGGCTGCTGCAGTGACGCGATGGAGATGGCTCAGTTCTTAACCTGAAAAACACTTAGATAAAGATAAAGGGGGTGGCTGGAGCAGCTTGGGGACCCTCCAATGCCTAGGTTAGTGACATAAGTAGACAAAGGTGCATGATTATCTTAGTAAGGTTGAAGTAGAAGTGTTTGCATACCTCTATTGTGCTGTTTGCTTCCCCTTTTATAGCTTGTTCCCACTAACCATTGTTGGCTGTTAGGCTTTCCCCCACTCCTCACATCAGCCCATTTCCCTTAGGGATTGTGCTCCACTAGGTGTGGATTTTTAGGAGTTGGTTGAGCCTAAGATAAAGGGATGTGGGTTAACTGGGTCTATGACAACCCTGTCGCGTGTTATGCTAATTGATCTTAATTATGATTGTGATTATATGCTTGATGTGATTTTGAGTGATAATTACATGATTATATGTGTTTTTGAATTTCTATCTGTTTACCGTAGGAAAATCTGTTAAACTTATTGTTGTAAATTGAAAGTTGAAGGCCTTATCGGCCACAGAAACCGAAATTGGCCACGCCATTGTGATTAGCTTAATTTTTAGAGCCTACGATGAAATTTAATTGAAAAATTATTTGGATCAAAATAATTAGATTCAGAACGATTAAATTGGGCTCAATTACTTAGCCATAATCAAATTTGATTAGGCAATCCTATATAAAGGCCTATATAGCCTCATGTTATTTCTTTTTGAGCTCAAAATCAGAAAATCACACTCTAAGAGAGAGAGAGAGAGAGAGAGGGCCGGCTCTAGAGAGAGGAAGAGGAAGAATTGTGTATTTTGGCTCAAAGTTTGTGAATTTGGAAGCTACACTCAAGATTTAACCATATTTTTGAAGATTGAAGCTCCTAGGTGAGTAAATTCATGAGTTGAGTTTGTAATTTTGTGGATTGAAAGTTAGATGGTGATCAAGAACATAAATTGAGTTGATCTTGATGAATTTGAGGTCAATGAATGCATGCATGTAAGAAATTACCATGAATTTGCATATTCTAGCATGTAACATGTTAATTATGAAAAATTGAGCATTGAAGCATACATGCAAGCATGGTTTTATTGAGTTTCATGATTGTAAACATCATTGGTGCCATTTGAAATGGAATTGGAATAAAAAATTTACATGCATGCTTGATTGATGGAGATATGAAGCTTGTTTGAAGTTTGAATGCATGGGTTTTGACCATACAAGAGAAATGTTGATTAATTTGAGAATTAGATCATGATTTTGAACAATTGGTCTCATATTGGTTATGTTATCATATTATGTAATGTCTTTCTATGTTTTTGTGTCCAAAACTTGAGTTTTGAACCCATGGACATTGAGTTTGAACTTCAAGAACAATTCTGGAAATTCCAGAATTCGG